CCCCCAACCCTCCACTCTCCGGAGGTTGGGCGTGCCATGGGACTGGCTCCGGCCAGTGAAATGCGCGCAGCACTGCGCCTCCTGCGGGAAGGAGCATCTCTGACCGGGTGTGACTCTGTGCTCTCCTCTCCGGCTGCAGCAGGCTTTGGGGTCTCCTTCTGAGATGATGGCATCACAAGGTGGCCGCCATGAACAAGCCCCCCTCCAACCAGTGTGTGTGAGCGAGAAACCAGCCATTGTTGTCTTAGGCAGCTGAGATCATGTGTTAACACGGGGAAACTTACCTCATGCTTCCCGATGCACCGTGGCACCTTGACCCTCCCCTAACTGCCTCGGGCTCCGTTTTAGGGCGTAGAAAACGGGCACACTTGTTGCCCCCCGGGGCGCTATCTCAGAAAGGTACGGGCTGAAATGAAACCGTGGCCGTGGGAGGGCTCTGTGGGGTCTGAGCACCAGCGGGGAGAGGGCAGGGACATGCCGGACACCCACGGACCCTGGGTCCAGGGCCGCCCGGTTTACCTCCTTCGTGCTGGTCTCAGGCTTGGTTAACTGGTGTGTTCCCTTTGGCAGGTGGCCCCACCCCGGGCGGCGGTGCCCCCTGGCACCTTCGAAATGTCCTCAGCGACTCAGTGGAGAGCTCAGATGATGAATTCTTTGATGCAAGAGGTGAGTGAACCGCGTGCTCCCATCATTGCTGGCTGATCTTTCTGGAAGCCCCAAGAAGGAATCTCTGTTGGTGGTTATATCTCTCCCCACTCAGACACTCAGTTCCATTCTTCATACTCAGTCTGGGGGCCCCCGAGGGCTGGGGTTCAGCTTTTACTCACTCACTCACTCACTCACTCACTCACTCACTCTTTGAGATACTTGCTGAGTCCCTCGGATATCCCAGGCATGGCCACGCCCCCACCAAGCTTACAGTCTAGTGCAGCGGTTCTCAACCTGTGGGTCGCGACCCCTTTGGCAGTCGTACGACCCTTTCACAGGGGTCGTCTAAGACCATCCTGCATATCAGATATTTACATTATGATTCATAACAGTAGCAACATGACAGTTATGAAGTAGCAACGAAAATAATTTTATGTTTGGGTCACAACATGAGGAACTGTATTTAAAGGGCCAGAAGGTTGAGAACCACTGGTCTAGTGGGAGAGGCAAGCATTGAACAGTTTCACAAAGGGAAATGCAATCAGAATGGGGAATAATGACACTGAGGAAAAGTATCAGCTGTTAATTCAGAGTGAGGACAGGGGCACCTAACTCGGTTAGGGCTGGGGGGTCGTTAACATCCTCTCTGCAGAACTGAGGGAAGGAGGAGGCTAGGTGAGCAGTGGGACAAGGACCCTCTAGGCAGGACACCGTAGGTATGATGGGGCTGAAGCAGGAAAGATGGGGCATTCTGGGAACTGAAGGGGGTCCTCATGGCAGGGAGGTAGCGAGCCAGGGGAAGAGGAGAGAAGACGCTGCCTGAGACCCAGTAAGTGGCTTATAGGATTAGCCCAGGGCTGGGAGGGAAACCAAAATGAGGTAGGGACCTGTTAGAAGCCTGTTGCAGCTGTTCAGAGGAGAGACAATGGTGGGCAGGATGTCAGGTGGTTACCCAGGGCTGAGTGCATGGCCAGCACACAGGACATAGCCAGGGGCATTCTGTAAGCCAGAATGGAAGAATAAGCAGCTTTGCAAAAACTGGATAAGAGGGCACCGAATGAGGTGGGCACTTCAGGCAGAGGGATCAGCCTGAGCAAGGGCTGGGAGGGCAGGCGTAAGGACCAGCGGGAGGCAGTGTCTGTCTGGAATTCAGGAGAGAGGACCCTCGCAGGTGTGCTCACGGGCGCTGTGTGCGAGTGGGCGGAACGAACAAGGGCCTCTTCTCTGGCCCAGGGGGCTCCCCACTTCTCATTTGCCTGGCGTGGGAAGTCACCATACTTGGGGGGTTAACTGCCTTCTGAGGCAGAGCCAACTGTGAAATGCCTGGCAAAATGGGGTCTTGAAGGGGAAACAGACTGTGCTGGGAAGACCTCTGGGCCCAGAGCAGCACACTCGGGGCACGGGCTCACCCATGCCATTACTTTGTTTGTGATCGTGGGCAAGTCTTTCCCCTTCTCTGGGCCTCAGTTTCCCTATTAGCTCTGCCCCTCGGGAAACGGAGGATACCCAGTCCAGGTGATTTTCGGGAAGCACAGCTGGGTGGTGGGATGCTGTCTGGCTCCAGCCTCCCTCATGCTGGGCTCTAGGCAGAGAACCCTCTCCCTGATGCCAACCCTAAACCAGCCCATTTGGGGCTCATTTCCTGTCTCCCATTGGAGCCGAGTTCCTCCATAGCAACTAAGCTGCAGTGTGACAACAATGGCTTCAATATTTTGATGCTTGTAGCACATTTATTTAAAATATTTTTGGAATGCCTCAGGGCTCGCATTCCCAGATGACAAGGATGGCTTGCTGCAGAGGCATCACCTTCATCCTTCGGGGCCCTGCTCACCTGCTTTCCCTGCGAGCAGCTGTGGACACGTCTGCTCTCCTCCCTGCTGACCGCTGCCTCCTTCAGCTCCCCGTCCTCCCCTCCCAGGACCTCTCCGCTCAGTCTGCGGTTCCCAAATTGGTCTCATCTTTCACCCCTCTCTCATTGGAGGCCCCTCCATCTCCATCTCTTCCTCCGCTCTCCCCACTCGTCTTTCCTTCTCTTTACGACCCCAGAATTCCAGACTCTCTGTCTCTTTGCTGGTTCCCCACCTCTCGGCACTCCCCACCAGCCTCGTGTCTCTGCTCCCTCCCCCATCGCCCTTGCAGAGCACCCCTAGCCCTCAGCCACAGGAACGGCTTCCACAGGTCAGAGAATCCTCTTTAGTTCTGAGTTGCCACCTCCCCGCCTTCCTGTCTGCTCTGTGTGGACTCCCTGGACAAGGCCTCTGCATGTTTCCTTGGTTTAAGGCAGTAGGAGGTGAAGCCATCCTTCTTCTCTGCTCCCAGGAGCTGGTCCAGGCCCCACCTGGCCTGCCCTCTCGGCATATGGGCCAGGCCATGGGTGTCCAGCTTCCTGGGCATTCCTGGAAGGGCCATTTCCCTGGCCTCCTTTCTCCAGCTAGGCTGAGCCCTGACCCTGACCTGAGGGTGGTCTCTATCCCCACCTGAGCAGGCCCTGCATCCTGTTGCCTCGGCGTTCCCACTCCAGCCTTCGTGAGACTGTATTGGCAGGTGTCAGCACTGAACAGGCCCCTGGGACACCAGGTCCTCCTCCTCCTCAGTGCATGATGGGGAAACTGAGGCCAGACCATGGAAGGGACCTCCCAAGATCACACACCAGGGTGGGGATGAAGGGGCTGGAACCCAGGAGTTGAATGGCCAGGTCAGGCCTTTTTCTTTGACTTGTTACTGCAATATGGGCTTTTCCCTTCCTTCCTTCCTTAAGCTCCAGCCCTTGGCCCAGTGCTGGGTTACCAGGTGGGATGAGAGACCCTCACTGCTCATGGTCTAGTAGCAGAGGGGAGGCTCTTGGGCTCTGGGGCTCTGGTGTATATATGGAAGGCATAGGAGGGATTGGGGTTGGTCAGGCAGGAGTGTGGAGCCCTCTGGGTCTATAACAGCTCTGGGGCAGCATGCTGGCTCCTTAGGCCAAGGCAGCAGCCCTGGGGCTGGGGGTGGCTGATGCCCCTGATTGGATGCTGTCTCTCTCTCCCTCTCTGAAATCAACAAAAATATATTTTTAAAAAAACTGATCAGGATACGGAGGAACTGGAAAGTTCAAACTCAAAAGCCCGAGGGCCCCCCAGCTCTGACAGGGCCTGGGTTTCAGGCACATCCCCTCACTCTGCCCTCCAACCTTGGTGGACCAGGCCATGGCTCCCCAGATGTCCTTTCACTGTATGGGCAGGACAGGGAGTGGCCGCTGGTCTGGTCTGGAGCCTAGATCCCATCGGCCACACAGAGTCAGAGAGAACAGGAGCCAGAAATCAGACTCATTCATCCACTCTTCCAAGTTTACTAGTATCTGCCCATCAAGCACCAGGTGGGATTCCAGGGGTAAGTAGGTCCTGTCCCAGCCCCCTGGAGCCTGCACTTTAGTGCTGATGGGCGGTGGTGGTAAGACAATATACAAGCATGTAGATTATATTGATAATTCGCATAAATAAAATAACATAAAGGAACAGACACCTCACCAAAAAATATGCATGAATGACAAAAAAATGAAAATATGCTCAACATCATTAGTCATTAAATGCAACTAAAACCATGAGATACCACTACACACCTATTATGACAGCTCATTAAAACAACTGATCAGGCCCAGCTGGTGTAGCTCAGTGGCTGAGCATCGACCTGTGAACCAGGAGGTCATGGTTTGATTCCCAGTCAGGACACATTCCTCAGGTTGTAGGTTCGATCCCCAATAGGGGATGTGCAGGAGGCAGCAGATCAATGATTCTTTCTCATCATTGATGTTTCCGTCTCTCTCTCTCTCTCTCCCTGAAATCAACAAAAATATATTTTAAAAAAATTGATCAGGATACGGAGGAACTGGAACGTTCAAACTCTGCTGATGGGAGTGGATAATGGTGCAACCATTTTAGAAAGTGGACTGCAACTTCTTAAAAAGTCAATCAAAGTGAACTGCCCCATGAGCCCGCCCTTCCAATCCTAGGTAATTGACCCAAGAGGAAAGCATGCATCTTTCACCTGGGACAGGGCCATGAGTGCTTATAGCGGCTTCATTTGTTATAGCTCTGAACCAAAGACAACTCAAATGTACATCAGGGGGCGACTAGATAAACGTTCATGCAATGAAATGCTACTCGGCTGTAAGAGGGAATGAACCACGGATACACACACCACGTGGGTGAATCTCAAATATAAGCAAGCTGAGTAAAAGGAGTCAGATGGAGAAAGTACATATTGTATGATTCCATTTATATAAAACTCTAGAAAATGCAAACAAATCGGTAGTGACGGGAGCAGATCAGTGGTTGCCTGGGGCAGGAAGGAGGGCTAAAAAGGGACAGGAGAAAACTTCTGAGGGCGATGGGTACACATTCACTGTCTCCATTGGGGTGATGGTTCCACAGGTGTGTCCACATGTCAAAAATTATCAAGTTGTACATTCTACTTTTTATCTGAATTAGGCAGCATCCCAACTAGTAAATGATAGAGAGGTTCTCCCTCAAATTGTACATTTTAAATGTGTAGACTTAACTAAATGTCACTACATCTCAGTAATACTGTTTAAATAATGAGGGAACTCCCTCCAATATAACACAAGGGAGTGTGACACAGTGACTGGTTGATGGTAAGAAGCCTTCAAATATGGCCATGAGCTGCGAACTGAATAACAAGAAATGAACCATGTGAGTATCTGGGGGAACAGTGTTCTGGGCAGTGGGAACAGCCAGCGCGAAGCTTTTACCGGAAGAATGAGCAGAAAGGCGTGTGTGCCAAGAGTGAGCAAGGGGGTGCCCACTTAGTGTTGTCAGTCCGCTGCCCCAGTAGGAGGCGGGAGAGCAGGCTTGACCTAGTAGCCTCAGGACATGTGCACGAGGAGTTTACATGGGCAAGATAATTCCATGAAAATTCCAAAGACAGGGAGGCAACATTGGGCATATAAGACATTTATGGACAAAGGAGAAGGTTGGAGGATGGGGGGACAGGGTATTAGGTTTCAGAAGCGAGAATGGGCCATTTGCAGGGAGTGGAAGGAGGTGGACCGCACATGGCGGGCACATCCTTGCCAAATGACTCAGAGATAATGGGGCACTGGGTATCTAGCTAACAGGCCCCCTGTTTACCACACTTAATGCCAGTTAGGCTAAGGTGACACCCTAAACTCGCCTTCCCAAAGCAGGCTTGTCTGTCTGAATCTCTCGGGCAGGAAAGGGGGGTGGGTCGAAGGTTCTGTCTGAGTTTTGTTTAACAGTTTAAAATCAATATTCCGAAAAGCAGCTTCAGCTTCACGGTGGCAGAATTTGGGTCCTTTCAGCTGCAGTGAAGAGAGAGTAGGGGTGATGGCCGCGGGTGAGGGAATGGAGCTGGTGTCAAACAGCTCTAGGGAGGGGTAGCGATCTTGTCTCCCGGAGGCCCAGAGCAATGCTCATCCAGGTCCTTGGAAAAACTGACATCGTGGGCCCGATGCAAAGGGTGATGCTCGGTGTTGGACTGGCCAACTGCAGAAGGGGACACGCCCTCGATCCATGAGCGGGAGGTGACCTCTTCCTGGTGTGGGGCAAGGAGATTTCCTGCTCTGAAGGCCCCTGGATCCCGCAGAAACAGGCCTGGGAGGAAGAAAGGCTTTCCTTCCGGCACCGGAGGTTGTGCTTAAAGGGGTATATCCAGGCTTTGGTCAGGGTTGGAGTCAGTCTGGGGTCCAGGCCAGGTTTGTGGTGCCTCTGGATGGGATTCAGCCTGACACCTAGTCTGGGCAGGGACGGGCTCAGTTGGAGTGACATAGATGCAGACACTGTGTCCACACCGGAGGCCACCGGGGATGAGAATTGGTGTGCAGGGAACACTCACCAGAAGCCGAAAAGCAAAATCAATAAGCAGGACATTTATCCAGAGAAGCCATTTGTGGCCTCTCTGGGCCCTGATGGGAGGCACGTACCACAGTGAGGGGAAGTAGAGCGGAGACCTGGAGCTCAGATTTGCCTGAATGACTCCGAAAGGAGCAATCTTGTGTGTGTGTGTGTGTGTGTGTGTGTGTGTGTGTGTTCTCACTGCCTCTCAGGGAACATAGTGAGAATCTGAAGGCTGAGTGTTGAGAGCAGGGGACAGAGAAGGGAGGGTGGGGAGCAGCTGGAGAGACAGGGATGTGGTGGAGGAGCAGGGAGCCCAAGGAAGTCAGGGAAAAGATGAGAAGCAGAGGGAGAGAGAGCAAGGGAGACCCAGAGAAGGTTGAGAGTGACACACACACACACACACAAACCAGAGAGAGTTGAAAGAGAGACAGTGACTCAGAAGGAGAGAGAGAAGACCAGAGAAAGCACGACAGACCTGCATGGGCAGAGAGTTCCTGAGGGGCAGGACCCAGAGAAAGAAAGAGAAACCCAGAGAGTGAGAGCGATCAAGACAGAGACATCTTCCCAGAGAGAAGAGAGAGAGACAGGTGCTGGGATAAAGAGAGAGGAAGAGCAAAGAGTATGGAGCGTGATTGAGGTCGACCCAGAGAGAGGGACAGAGGTGGCCGAGAGCACTGGGAGCCTGAGAGGCACAGAGAAATGCAAGGACCAAGAGGGACAGAGATCAATGGAAGGGATCTGGCAAGATCAGATCTGAGTGGGACAGATCTGAGTCATAGAGGAACACGGTGGGAGTTGGAGAGGAAGACACATCTACTAGAAAGACAGACAAAAGACCAAAAGGGCAAGATGGAGGAGGGCCATGCACAAAACTAGGAAGAGAGGAAAGAGGCCGAGGATGGTGCAGAAGTGGGCATGCTCCGACCTCAGAGCCTGGGAGAACCCTCGGGTTCTGATAGCCTCATACACACCCCAGGAATAGGGCTTGCACATTGTAGGAAAAACGAGAGCTAAGATGTGTAAGCACCTACTGCATACCGGGCACTGGACCAGGACCCCCAGCATGCTCATCTCCTGCACCAGAGTTATTTATTTATTTATTTATTTCATAAATTAGGGTAGAGGTCATGTCACACTGCACACAGTAGGTGCTCAGGAGTCCACTCATTGTAGAAGGAATGCTCGAATGAACAAGTGGGCAACGGAGAGCCAGGAGACACAGCACTCTCAGTGGGGTACCGGCTGATTACCCCCTCTGGGTCTGGGGCAGGGTCACAGGGGCAGAGCACAGCATATGTGGGGAATGTTGGGGCATACACCACATCCTCTGGGGTGGAGGTGATGATGGACCATCATCTTCATGTGCTGATACCCACTGCTGTGCTCTTATTGTGTAAACACTTCACCTTCATGGTCTCATTTAAGCCTCACGGCAATCCTATGGCATAGCCGTGACTGGGATGTCATTTTATAGATGAAGAAACTGAGGCTCAGAAAGCTACATTATTGTCAAAGGGCATATATCTAGCAGGATTGGAAGGAGTCAACATAACACTGAACTGAGCTCTTACCCCTTGGTGTCCTCCTTCCCCCAGAGTGATTCTACCTGATGTTTGTTCACAGCATTTTGGCTTGTGAAGCTTTTGCAAATGTAGTATGTCATTGTCCTCATGGCAGCTTGCTAGGCAGAGTTGTAAAACTAGAGTTGTTGTTCCCATTTAAGGGAAAAAACACAGGAGAAGCTGAGGGATGTATGCAAAGCACAGGCTCACATAGCACTCTCTGGACTGGGACCCGGTCAGGGCTCTTCCCAGAGCACAGTGCTGCTAAGAGGTGTACACTGCTGCCCGGATGGAACACACCACACTGAGTAAATTGTCTGGTGTGAGTGGTGCCTGGCTGGAGTATTGGGCAGCCAATACAGGATGCCCATGGCAGGCCATCGGTAAGACAAGATTTTAGGACTCTTAAAAAAATGTTCTTATTGATTTTAGAGAGAGAGAAAGGGAGAGGGAGAGAGCGATAGAAATATCAATAAGAGAGAAACATCAATTGGCTGCCTCCAACATGCCCCCCACTGGGGATCAGGCCTACAACCTGGGCATGTGCCCTGACCTGGAATTGAACCAGCAACTCTTGGTGCATGGGTCAATGTTCAATCACTGAGCAACACCAGCTGGGAAGATTTAAGGACTCTTGAAATAGTATATTTAGGTTTCAATTCTGGCTTTCGACAGTGATATTGGGCAAATTCCTGAACTACTCCATGCCTAAAATGGAGATGATAATAATTGTACTTTTTTAGCATTTTATGAAAATTAAGTGAATTAATATTTTAAAAGCACCTATAATAATCTCAGTGCATAGTAAGGATTTGATGTGTTGTTAAAGCAATCAAATAAATCAAATAACTCAGGAATCATCATCACCACCATCATGATCCAGACCCCAGCCAGACATGGGTCCTAGATTACTGAGTTCTAGGGGATTTCAGAACTCTGGACAGCGCCCCAAGCTTCAGATCCACCATATTGGTCCCACCTGCTCTGTAAAGTTCTTTGGCAGTGAAATGGGTCTCGTCCCTTTATTTTTGGTTATCTTGAGCTTGAGGATTCTCCTCACCACTCTTTAATGTCTATTCCACAAGGGAGGACACAAAGCTCTTTACCAGGAAGGCCCTTCAAAGAGAGAGGGCGGCCACTTCTGTGGGTTTGTTCTTGAGGAAATGCCCCTTTCTGGGATGAGGGACTACATCAGATGTGTGGGACAAAGGGCCCTGTATTCAGTGTGATTAGGGAATGTGGCCCCATCGATTTCTCTCAGAGTAATCACCAAGCTCAGACTGGGAAAGAGCAAAGATACAGACAGGGTTGAGGGGAGGACTAGGGATGAGGAATGAAGGCATTAATAAGTTCATAAAGTTACGACGTGGGCTAAGGGTTCTACACAGCTCAAGGCTTGCTTAGAGCAGAAATCTTCTGCTCTTCCAGTTACTCTAGAGCTGCCCCTGCCCCACTCAAATCCAGGTCCACTCAAATACTGATGGCAACTCACTTCTCATGTGAAGAAATGGCCGTGATATCGCTCGCTTATGACCACCCTCTATGCACCGAGGCCTTTACACCCATTATCTCGGTTAGTCCTCACAACAGCTCTGTGAGTGAGACTTCCTGTCCCATGTTACTGATGGAAAAACTGAAGCTCAGAAGGCAAGTCACTGACCCAAAGAAAAACTGCTAGCGGTGGCAAGGACCCCCTCCACCCCCAAGCACACTTCCTTTCAAGAAATATCTCTCGTAGGACTAGAAATGGAGCCTTCTGTGGGTTTTCAGCCTCTCTCCTGACTTTCTTTGGATGAAAAATTCCTGAATGCCTTGTACCTGTCATAACTACAGACACTTCAAGTCAAAGGAAGGCATAAGTACTCCTTCAGATATAAGCTCCTGTCAGGACTACCTGTACCCTGCCCTCCCTGCTCATGCACATCTCTGCTTCTTCCACAGAGGAGGTGGCTGAAGGGAAGAATGCCATTCTCATCGGGATGAGCCAGTGGAATTCGAATGACCTGGTGGAGCAGATGGAGACCATGGGCAAACTGGAGGAGCATCAAGGTGAGATTCTGCTTCTCTCACGACCAGGGTGTGTACATATGTACATTGCAGGGCGGGTCGAAGTGCTAGGACTTGGGTCTTCTATCTGTCTGGGCACCTCCCCTCTCTGAGCCTGTGAGCCCTGAATTCTGTGACCTGCAGGAACCCTCGTGGAGACTTTTGTGGGGTTTTCTGCAGCAGAGAAGTTCCAGGGTCTTTCACAGAGCGTCCTTTGTCCCCAGGAGAATGGGTAACTGAGGGCAGGTGGCAGGGTCCAAGCTCTTTGGACTGCCAGGCCAGGCTGGAAGGGTGCTGGAATCTGTTTGGTAAACTAAGATAGCACCTGGAGGGGCCTTTGAGAGGGAACAGGGCAAAGGGGCAGGAGCTGGAGCCTTAAGTTTTGGGCTGAGTTGTTGAAGACAGAGTTGTGGCTGGGAATTAATCCAGGAGGCTTTTTATGGAGACGAGTTTTGACCAGAAGATTAATCAGCAGACAAAGCAGCCATATCCTTTTAGGCATCCATCCATCTGTCCATTAGACCACATTGCGTTGCTAACAGAATGTTTGTTAAAAATCTACTGTGTGTAAAGTGCTTATAGGAGGGACCAAAGGTGACTCAAGCGAGGCCCCTGGCTTGTGATGTGTCTCACAGTGTAAGTCAAGACCTAAGGGAGTCGGACTTAAGTGGAAGGTTGTTGGGCCCAGAGGTGAGAGGCAGGAATTTAGGAAGGAGGCAGGAGATGGCGGCTCAATGAAGCTATGGACCAGGCTTTGAAAGGCAAGTGGAGGATGTAGCAGAGGCGGTCATAACATCTGAGATGACATATGGGGAAACCGAGGCTCAGAGAGGAGCTGTATATGATTAAGGTGGGACTAGTGTGAGGCTCCCACCTATCCCAGATGTAGGTGCTAACCCCCGTATTTGTCATCCTGAGGCCAGTTCTTTCTCTCCCTCCTCCCCACCCCCTATATCACTCCTTCTATTTCCCCTCTTCCTCATCTCCTCTTTTCTTTCTCTCCTGGTCCTGTAATGCCTTAGTCATGGTCTGGGCCAGAGCTGCTTGCCCGGGAAGGCCATCCTATCAGGAGCTGTTCGGGGAGATGCGCTGGCCCAGCCCAAAAGAAAAACACATCTTGCTGCTGGCCGTCTCGGTGATGGCTGACTTGCCTGAGCTTCTGCGCCTTTCCTTACCTCATCCTGCCCCCTTGGTTTTGAGCCTTCCCCTGGCAAAGGGCCCATCCCGAGGAATGGACAGGCCTGGGGTGATGGTTTTATTAGACAAGTGAAGAAACCCAAGGCTCAGAGAAGCCCTGTCTTGCCCAAGGTCCTCCAAGTTGGTGGCAGCATCACACTCAGATCTCTAGTCTCTTGATTCCCAGACCAGGGTTTCACCTCCCAGATAGGACTGAGGCCATGAAGCCCAGAGTCTTAAAGGAAAGCCCCACCCCTCGGCCGCTGTCACCGTCCTAGGAAGGCAGGCTCTGCGTCTGATTGTCAAGGCCAGCCCAGGGCCAGCTTCCGGTCTTCACAGGCACACATTTGCAGATGGACCCTCGGCTGCTCTTTCCTTCACCTGGGGGACCCTGCAGGCGGCCCACAAGAGGTCATGGGCTCCAGGTGCTTCCCCAGGACAATGCTTGGTAGCTACAAAAAGACAACCCAGACTTGTACTCACCACCCACCTGGCCACCCATGTCCCACCACCAGCCTCACTTGTCTGCCAAAAGATATGTGACTCAGACACAGTGTGAGCTAAGGAGTGGGTGAGCGAGAGGCAGTGCGGCTGGGAGGGCAGGAGAGAAGGAAGCAGAGGGAGATTGGTGGGAGAGGCGGCGACTGCAGCTCTGGAATCTAAGAGGTCTGGGGTTTGAACCTTGGCCCTGCCGGTCTGTGGCTTTGTGGCCAGGGAAAGTCACATCACCACTCTGAGCCTCGCTTCTTCCTCTGCAGAGCGGGGCTAGTACAAAAGCTGTGAGGATTAAACGAGCTAATACTTGCAGCGTGCATTCAGTAACAGGTCATGAGCACGCTGGAAGCGGGGAGAAGAGTGAAAGATGGTGCACAGGTACCACGCTCACCGACGCTTCATGGTACTCAGGAGAGGCTGAATTAGGGGCAGTGCTTGATTGCGTTGAGAATTGATGCTGTCTCCTCCCAGCACAGATGGGGAGCAGGAGGGCGAGAGAGAAGAGGAGGAGAGGAAGAGGGAGCCAGCCGTGTTTCCAGCTCCTTCCGAGTCTCATTCCCCAGGAGACTCCTAATGTGAATTCCCACAACACGACAGAACACACACATTAATTTCATTCATTTCAACAGTCATTTATGGAGCCACGACGGGCTCGACCCTGGGCTAGAAGTGGGGGAAATCAACAGGAGCAGGCTGGCGTTGCCACTCTCTGAGGAGCTCACAGCAGAGAGGAAAACTATGCAATTAAACAGGCTGGGGAGGGGGCCTTAGGAGAGGCTCCGCGGGAAAGGCTAATATCAAAATCGGTGGCACAGATAGACCTCTACTCCTGCCTCCTTCAAACATCCTTCCCTGAAACATGGTTGTGTGTCTCTGCTGGGCCCGAGTGTCTCCCGGATCTTGGACGGTTTACATGCTCAACTTACAGCTCTGCGTTTCCATGCTGGTGAGTGGTGCCGATTTAGACCCCACACCCACCGGTGGCAGAAGCTGAGGGTCTTCATTACTCATGTGTGACTTTTTCCTGCTTCGCTGTCTGTGAATGGTTTCCGTGCTGCTCCCCCTAAGGAGCGTTGTGTTTCTAAGTACCTTTATGGATGGAGCAGCGCTGCCACAATCCCTGCTGTGCAGGGGGCCCACTTTACTGCCTCACCAGCTCCCACAGGCTGAGGCCCAGTTTGTGGAGTTGACGGTGCGGTTTTCAGCCTCTAGTCCCCGAGCCTCTGTCCATCTGAGCTTTCCGTGGGCCTCCTCCAGGCTGGCTTCCGCTTTCGTCTCCGCATTGTAGCTCCCTTGTTGTTTCTGGCACTTCTGTATGATCCATTCTTTATTTTGAGCTTGGTTCTATATGGACATTTTTTTTGGTAATATATTGCCCAGTCTATATGTTTTTTAATGAAGGGGATCCTTCAGCATCAGTTCAGTTCACTTTATTTATTATTATTACTATTTTTATAATGGCATGCATCGCTATTTTTATTCATCATTTTTAATTGGGTAAAATATACATAATATAAAACTTACCATTTTAACATTTTTAAGTGTACAGTGTCGTGGCATTAAGTATATTCATATAGTTGTGCAACTATAAACCGTTCCTGTCCAGAACTTTTTCATCATCCCAAACTGAAACCCTGTACCCATTAAACACGAACTCTCCATTCCCTACTTCCTGCCCCCCCCCCACTCCCCCGCCAGCCCCTGCTTCCACCATTCTGCAATCTGGCTCTATGAATTTTACTACCCTAGGGACCTCGGGTAAGTGCCATCATGCAGTGTTTGTCTTTTTATGTCTGGTTTGTTTCACTTAGCATCATGTCCTCCAAGTTCATCCCTGTGGTAGCATGTGTCAGAATTTCTTTCCTTTTTCAGGCTGAATGATATCCCATTGTATGTTTCTACCATAATTTTTTTCCCCAGTCACCTGCTGGTGAACATGTTTCCACCTTTAGCTATTGTGAATAATGCTTCTATGAACATTGGTGAACAAATAATCACCTTATTTCTTGAACACATTTTCATTGTAAACAAAAAAGCACAAAGAAAACCAAAGTCTCCCTTATCGACTTCTTCCCATCACAGACCTCACTGCAGGCTTTATCAGTGCGGAGGGGATCTCTATAGAGAGAGATCCTATCATCTGTTATTGCTGCCACTTAATTTTCATTTTCACTTCATAGTTGATCTATGTCAGGTGGTCATAATAATCTGGCCACTCAGTGTATATTCAACTCATTCTTTTTACTTGTACTATAGCATCATCTACAATAGATGGACCATCATTTACTTGACCATTCTGTAGTGATAGACATGGGAATGTTTCATTATTTTAAAAAAGCTGCCCTGGTCAGTGTGGTTCAGTTGGTTGAGCGTCGTCCAGTGCATGGCAAGGTCGCCAGTTCGATTCCTAGTCGGGGCACACACACACACACACACACACACACACACACACACACACACACTGACATGGTTGAAAGCATAAGCATCCACAGCTGTCATAGATACTGCCGAAAAGTTTCCATAAAGACTGTGCAAATTTATATTCATACCAGCAGTGGATTAGGTTAGCCATTTCTCCACAGTGTTACCAGACTTGATCTTATCAACTGAAAGGTTTTGCCTGATTAATGGGTGAAGAGATTTTGTTGTTTTCTTTTGTCCTTCCTTGATTGCTAGTGAGATCGATCATCTTTTCATAAATGTGTTGACCAAAGCTATTTTCTTTTTTCTGAATTTCTTAAACATGCTTCCCCCGCCCCCTCATCTTCTATTAGATTACTTGTCTTTTTCTTATTGTTTTTTAGGAGTCCTTTATATATAATCTGGGTATAAATTATTTGAAATATTTGCCTCTTAAATCATGCCACTTGGCTGAATTTTCTTAGTAGGGCTCATGGTTTGTCAGTTTTCTGATGTCCTATCATTCACAAATCTTAATGGTTATATCCTTGCCAATATTTACACTGCTTGCTTTTTTTTTTTTTAAATTGCATTGCACAGGATCTCCAGATAGCTGCTGAGTAACAGGAATGATAGCAGACTTTCTTGTTTGATCCTGACTATAATGCTGTCATCTCCTCCTCCTCCACTACCTTCTCCTCCTCCCCCTGCTCCTCCTCCCCCTGCTCCTCCTCCTCCTCCTCCTGCGCTTCCTTCAGTTAAGCACAGTGAGGTATGACTTACATTCCGTAACATTCACCCTCTTTATTGTATAGGTCTCACTGCTGCTTCTTCATGATTTTCTCTTGGATTTACTTCCTCTTTTCACTAGAATATCACCTCAGATGGGAACTGTGATTGAAACTTTACACGTCCTTGCATTTCTTTTATTT